ATGAAACTATCACCGCTAATTAATCGGTCATTCGGGATTCAGGTAGATAAAAAATTCCGAAAAATAGATTATCTCTAAAATAGCAATATTATAATCGATTCTGTCATAAATCTGGCGTTATTCGATGATAGACGATTTGTTTGTTCAAATTCGGTTGGCGGCACATATTCATCACTATTGTCATGGCGCCACTAATCTACGCGCTTCGTGATTGATGTTTTTTATTAATAACTCGTTAACAAAGCCGTGTCGAGAGTTTTTGAAAAAGAAAATATTGCTTGAAATTAGCTCAAAAAACTCCAATAAATCGATGTTCCCATATTTCAAACATTTTATATAACTTTCAACCAGAAATAAGCAAAATTTTAATAGTTGAATATTTTAAAGAATAAAAATACCTCAATAAGTTATTTCGATAATTTATTATTCAAAGCATCTAAATAATTTTGCAGATAATTGACAAACAAAGATTATAAAATATAACAGATTAATTATAATACAAATACCATAATTTTTTATTAGTATTTTGAATAAAGTTATTTAATTTTATTTTATTCGAAATTTTTAATTAGTTACTTTTTCCACAAGTTAATGTCCCCAATTTAGCAATTTTAGTGAATACTCACCCAACATTGGTGATGCCGTTAACCACCCTTTCGCGGTGGAATCCATTTCCAAATCGCATTGCGCTGCCGGTAACACGAAGGAGAGTATCGTGACTCCGATGGCGGTGTCCATGTAAATTAATCCGCAGATTGTTAACAGCATATAATGAAATTTGCCGAATCCTTGACGTGAGAAAAATACGATTCGTTAAATATTTAATGCGATCTTCTCAAGAGTCATTTCGAAGTAAATAAGAAAGAAAAGATTTATAAATGCTAGCAATTAAGAAATTATTTGATGTTTGATTCACGTTGTAAGCCTTCGTCAAATCTTTCGAGAGTCAACAATTATTCGTTGCAAATTTTTTTTTTTTTTATTCCATCACAAACGAATTGCATTCATCGCGTAGAAAAGATAAAATTATGTTGTTTGCTTCCCCTGTCTCGACAAATTTACAATTTTTTTTCCTCGACACGAATAATTTTAAAATTATATTTATATACACGTCTGGATTGAAATAGTTGGCAGATTTTCTAAATTTAGACGAAGATTAGATTTTTTGGCATCAATGATAACGCTTTTTAAAAGATTCCTATCCAATTTGATCAATATATGATAATTTTGAATTCGATAATTTTAATCCATTAAAGTATTTACTTTTCTAAGATCACTATAGAATTTTATAAATTTTTCCACTTATCTCCAATCGATTTAATCCAAGTATATTTTTTTAAGATGTATAAATATAATTTTTGATTAATTCATGCTTTGAAATTTTCTTTCATGATCTTCAAATCAGATGATATTGACATAAAATATGACATAAAATTAATTTCTAATTTTTTTAATTGACAGAAATATTTTTCTTCCCTTCTAATTAAAAATAGTAATTAATATTCATCGTAGTTATGGTAAGATAATTAGATCAAAATTAAATACGTAATCGTGGAGTGAGCAGCATATCAATAAAATATGCGAATTTTATACTCGATAAGAAAGCATTGTAAATAAAACACTGTTCTTGATCTTCAGTGTTCTATATCTATGATTCGTTTTATGATCTTATTATTCAAATATTCGCACAATTTCATACGAATTGTTATCGTGACTAAACTAATTTTAAAGAAGAAAAACTTTGAACTTGGTTGAAATTAGCTTGCCCAGTAAAATTCCATTTGTTTGAACTTTATTTATTGGATTAAAAAAATAGCTTGAATCTTTCCTTTAATACTGTAGATGATCATAATTAAAATATAATCAAAATATGATAAAAATAATAAAAGATAGAATAAATATAAAATATCAATATAACGCTAATCATATTTCTATCAAGTGATGATTATTTTAATGATGAATAATAAAGTTAATTTTGTCGAGAATACTTGAATTTTTTAAGTCAATTGTAAAAAAAAAAAAGATTTGAAAATATAAGGAAGTAATATAAGAATTTATTAAATTTTCAAACATATAAAAAAGTAATAAAAAATTTTCAGGTATTAAATTAAAAAATAAAATTAATTTAATTAATTTAATATAATAAAATATATTGAGTTGAAATAAGAAAAATTAAATGAAAATATAGAAATAAATGTAATATATTTTTAATTAATTTACAATGAATTAATTTCGAACCGACTCAAAATCAAGATAAAAATCTCTTCTCACAAATCATACGATACGACGATGATCAATCGACATTCCAAAATAGAAAAATTGTCGAAGAAATCATGTAAACAAAATTATTTTTGTAAACATGATCGATTAAAGATATTTCAATCAATCTTTTCTTTTTTTTTTATCCCGATAAAATTTTCGACAACCTCCTCGATAAATCGAATATCTCGTATCTTCTATTTAATCAGTTAAAGAAATTATAAATTTACCTGTTACGGTGATTGCATGCTCGAAATCGGCACCTCCGTCTGCCAAGAAGTCGAGCCCTGTTGAAGAGAATAAGATTTATTAGCATTTTGAAATATTGATTTTCCCCTTTTCTTTTTTTTTTTTTTCCTATTTTTGAAAGAAGAGATAATATATTAATGTATCATATTTTATTATTATCGATGAATAAATAGAATTTTTGGCGTTAAATGATTAATCGAATAATCGATATCGTGCGATATTTTTATTATTATTAATAATATTATTAAATTTGGTAGATGATGAAGTAGTCATGTAAATTATTAGTGATAGTACGATAATTATGAATTATTTTGTAATGTGATTATTTGTTCATGAAATTTATTTTGTCTGCATCTCGTTTCCTCCAACGCAAACTTCAATCGCCAATAACAAACAATCGCCTTAACAAACAAGTCTCAACCGACATTTTTCTATACTTTCTCCAAATTCCTCCAAATATACATCATATTAATATAAATCGTCATCATCATAGCCAAATTCTATATATTCAAGACGATCTCGAAAGCTCGAACCTACCCATGATTAACGATTACGTTGTGAAGATCTACGTCGGTCTCTCGAGAAGTGATGAAGTCAGGTAGTGTCGGTGGTGAGAAGCCGGGAATCTGGAGGACCCCGGTCGCCAAAACGCAGCACTGTCTGTTCCTCGTGCGTGTTCCACGGTTTTGTCCTCGTCCGCAACCACCGTACGCTACGTTCATTGGTAAACACTCGGTGGTATTCGATCGCCGTCTTTATCGCCCGAGCGAATATCGACGATGATTTTCCACCGAGGGATCCTTGTTCCTTCGCGGAATCCTTCTCCTTCCTCCTCTTTTTCTTCTTCTTCTTCTTCTTCTTCTTCTTCACCCCCTTCTTCACTCGATTACGAAACGATATCTCGTCCGATTACGTCGAGCTTAATCGAACTAGATTCTTTGAATTCTGGCTGAAAGGATTTTTTCTTTTTTTCTTTCTTTTTTTTTTTTTTTTTTTTTTTNTTTTTTTTTTTTTTTTTTTTGAGATTCTCTTCCTTTCAAAGTTAATCTCTTCCTTTCGACGACAATTCTATTATTCCGGTCGGTGAATCGTATCTGGAATAATAATAATAATAATAATAATAATAATAATAATGTTCGATGTCACTTTTTTTTCTTTCTCGAATTGGTCAAGTCAAACACGATGCTCCTAGGAGAGGAAAGCGACTGATTAAAAAATTGATTGTCGCCTCGACATATATCTCTTCTCTTTTAGGTGGTTGGTTGTTCTCCTAGCTGTAGATAAGATATAAGTCTTTCTCTGTCTCCCTCTTTCTTTCTTACCTGCCTGATTATAACGGACGATCAGATCAGATATTATTATTCATTGTTTTGTACGATGTGTGTATTTTTGTACATTTACGAGGGATTCTGAAAGGATATAGATGAGTGCAGATAAAATTGAGGATGAGACATTAAATTTTGATTAAATTTTGCGTGGAAGTAATAAGCGGAAATTTGTTGTTCTTGTATGGAATTCTTTTTTGTATATTGTTATTTATAAGAGTATCATATTTATCTTCTCCTTGCCAAATCTTTTTTTTAATACACAAAATATTGAATGCTTTAGAAGCGAGGAAAACTGAAGAAAAATGAATCCATGTTATTTTTGTTATCATTGTGTTAATATTTAAATTTTCTTCAATGTCTCTTAATTATTTTATACATTTATTATTTTATACATTTGATATAAATACATTTTGATTGAAAAATAAAATTTTAAACAATTACGATGAGTTTTAAAAAATTAAAAAAAAAAAAAAATTACTTTTTAAAAACGAAGATTATTTTAAATTTATTCTTATCTAAATATTTCGAATAAAACGAATAATTGAATTTTTCATTTCTTTCTCCATAGTTGGTTTTAAAATAAACATATTAAAAAAAAAAAAAAAAGAAAAAAAAAAAGAAAAAAGAAAAGAAGAAAGAGAAAGATATTATTACAAATTCCTGTCCTGTAGATAGAGGCTTTATGCACGTATGGTATAAGTATGAGTAAATCGTACGTGTTAAGATGTGTTTTGCAATTGGCCCTGTCACGATACGATCTAAACTCGATAACGCAGTTAAAACAGCAGGTATCACGGGATTTCTAATTGCTTTAGATTACTTTGATTAAAATACGCTGGTTTACCGATGCTTATTTCATTATGCACCGATATCAACGACACATTTATCCGAAATTGAAAACAGTTTCTCCGTTATACCGGATCTGCTATATATAATATTTCTCAAGAATTTTCTCAAATTTCACAAAACTATCTTTTTTTCTTTTCTAGTTCTAGGATTTTTTTATACGAAACATTATGACTCATTTTAATGATAAAGATATTGCTAGAATTGCTTGCTCTTGTGAAACATTGTAAAATCTTTTATCCAATTTATTGGAATAATATTGATTGAATTAATTTTTATAATGATTTTTATTATCGAAGAATTTATTCATTCATTTACATATAGAAAATGAATGAATTTTTATCGATAATAAATTCATTTATTTATACGTTCAATGTTTAAGAAATATTTTCCAATTGAAGATATTAAACGTAAGATGATCATTTAGAATGCTCATTAAAATCCTTGTGTAATTACTGTAAGAATACATTTGTATTTTATAATTATGTGAGATTCCAATAGACGCGTAACTAAATTTTACAATTTCAAGAGTTTCAAGAAAATGTGATTTAAATGTGTGTGCTTTAGAGTTATCTACAAAGTTTACTCGAAATTCAGATCACACGATGTCAAATGCACTTTATGCAATCTTACAAATAACTTTTGAAGGCCAAGATCTAAACTGCTTCTATAATGTTCTCTTTAATGATTTAACATTTCGATTATAACCTAATTGCTTCCATCTCTTTGTATCTCGATCTATTTTCATTTCTTACGATTCCTCTTGTGATATATATTGTAATAATTGTAATTTATGCGTATCTTATTTTGGACAATCAGGATTGCAAATCTTAAAGATGACTTGCTGATGAAGACAACAGAGTAACAGTTTATTAATCGTGTCATTAATCAAATCAAATTGTTTGAGAAATTCTCGTGTCAACACGAAATATTCACAAATTTTCATAGTCATTAAGAAATATCTTTTCCTAATCTGAAAGTTTTTCGATTTTTCTTAATTAATATCTAATTATATTTATTCCAGGTATATGTAAGTCGAAACTTTTACTTACTTTTTTGCTCATAATTATTATCGAGATAATAACTTGAATCGTAAGAACGAGATTTTTCTTTTCAAATTGTCTTGATTTCTTGATATCACTTTGATTATCCATTGTATAACTTCTAGAGATTTCGACACGTGAAACGAAGCTGACAATGTGCTCTTCAACCGTATTTACGATAGTAAAGAGCTAAACAACATTTTCAGGACTGTATGCACCGTGTCCAAACAATGAATATCGCAATAGCTAAACAGAATATTTACATGAGATTCCGTTAAGTAAGGTAACATGTTTATCGCGTAATACATTGTACATATGTCATACTTGGAAACTCTATCTGCAATTTATTCTGTAATGTTACAATTTAATCTTCCAGAAATGAATAATCTCTTTTATTGCAATTGCTTACTTGATATTTACAATATTTGGTACATTGTTTCAAAAGGAAATTTTGATCATCCCTATTAATTTTTCACGATGTGTCTTCCAAACAAGATTCCTTGATATCTTCTATTTAAATTAAAAGGATTATTCTGTTTTTCCAATTACGACTTTTCTTTCTTAATCTTATGATCGTCCATTCCTTTGTACAAAAGAAAAATTAAAAAATTAACAAGGATGAATGAACATATTTTCAAAATATTTAATTGTCAATAACTTTTTAACACAAACAATGAACGATAATTAAAATTTTCTGAAGATCAGAAAAGTGATCTTAACAATCTAACCACTTAACCTAACTTACTAATGCCAAAATGATATGTTTTACTTGCTAGCAATATTATATCCTTCTATATCATTCAAGAAGGTGACCTTGAAAATGTACGTGGAGATCAAGGTCATTTGAAGTTTCAACACAATATTTATTTTTTATATTTAGTACAAATTTATTACCACGAAATGATTAATAATACTACGTTTGAATTGAGTAAGAGGAAGAAAAAGTCACTAGGATATCCTTATAGAATGTATTAATGGAATAAAATAAATTTAAATTAAGCTAAAAATCATTATATCATAACGTAATAATCATTGATCTATGTAAATAAATATATAAACAATAATATTTTAGATAAATATTATTCCATAAAATATTGATTTTGCAAATCTCTTGTATCTTTAATTTTATTACAAATTTTTCGAAAAACTCGATATGATGTTCGATAAAATTTACTCATTAATTTTTATAAATTAAATTAATGAGCATGAAACAACATGTTGCAAAAAAGATTGTACGTAATAAATCGATAAGAATACAGATATACATATTACCGATATACATATAAATTATTTTTACTTTTTTAAGTAGTATAAATCCTTCTTTTATTGTCTTGAAATACTTAAGAATTATTAGTAAGTAATTTTTAACGTAAATATCGCGATTTAAATGTAATTATCGTAATTAAGATAATTATTTAAAACTATTTGTTAATATTATTCACTCTTTGTGAACATATCTTTTTATGTTCTTTGGGCAAATTGGATTTTTTATATTCAAATCTAATTTGTATTGTGTCTAAAAAAATTTTTCGATATTCATCAATATGAATTTATAACGTTATAAGTATTTATTTATATTTTTATTATTATTATTATATTATTATTATATTAATTATTATTATATTATTTTAATTTTATTAAAATATTTCTTTTGATAAAAATTGAAAAGAAATGATTATAATATCGAACAATATTGCCCATTTTTAAGTGTATATCGTGTATACCATTTGTTATTCTATTACATGAACTTTATCCTCCAATAATTAAAAATGTTCGAAAAGAAAATTTAATAAAATATAAGTGAAATTGTTGTTTTTTTGATTTTAAGAGAAAGAGAAACAATGGATAAAGTTAAACATGCAACATTATTGGCAAAGAGAAGAAAAATATTTAGTCGTATATCATATTATTTTAAGTCCAATTGACCTAGACGAGATAACTATTTGAAAGATAAAATCAGTCGAGGCGTAAACCCGTGTCATCAAATTAATTAGACGTAAACACGCTTATCAAATGAATAGATCGAATAACAACGAAAACTTTCGTGATCTAACTTTGAATGAACGATCTAAGAAAGTTTTATCAAATGTGTCTATAAACGAATTATCTGTAAAATAATATAGATTAGGTATGGAGATTGACGTGTGAGCAAATTGAATTAGAATGGAATTACAAATAGAGTCAGTGTTGATGAAGCTCGAGATTAGACTTAATTAAGAAATAATCCTGGATTTTTACCTGGGATTTAAAACGGAGAAACTTTAATTAAAAGATTAAGTGATGGCGTGTATAAATACATTGAAAAATTTATTTCCAAATACAATTTAAATCAATCTGATCTTGATTAATTTGATCCAATAGATCATAATTTAATTCGACTATCTTATTTCAAATTTATTAAATTTAATTTCGATAAGTCAACATAACAACTTTAATCGAATCGATTTAATTTAACGATGCGACTTAGATCAACTCAATCAGATTCAATTTTTAACTTGATTTGGATCAACATAATTTAATTTGAACATAACTTGAAACATCACTTCTCAAGATAAATTCTACTTTACACAATATAATACAATTTAACTCGATTAAAATGATTTTTAACTCATTTAAACGAGCGATCTTAATTTGATCAATTTTAAATTTATACGCGCTTGAACTTAATCTAACCTAACCCGAACTATTTTCTACTTAATTTATTTCAAACTTATTTCAGAAATTACCGCTCGAAACTGATTTGAATGCAGATCGTTTACGTTCCAAGAATTCGAATTAACTCGAATTACTTTCCGTCAATTATTTAAATAACCTTCGAAAAAGTTAACACAGAATTAATCAAGCCTCGATATTGTATTTTTCAAAAACACATCATAAATAAATTAATTCAGTTTAACTAACGTGCAAACAAAACAATATCACCAGACTTATCACTATTCACTGTCAATATATTATAAAAAATCGTGAAAAAAATAGCAACTTGCGCGATTCAATAAGGATTATAAACCATAAATAAATTAAAGCAAAAATTAAAGAAGCAATGTTATCGTTTTTTCATAACGTACAATATCATCAATTTTAATAAAATGTATCAATTTTTTTTTGAAAATATTCTACTTTTTTTTCAGCAAGATTCGTTACGCTCTGACGAATTTGAGGGATTAATTTTATATTTTAGATAGAGATTATTATTATTGTTATTGTGACAGAAAGAATTATGTCGATAAAATCCTCATATTTGGAATGATTTATCTTGGTTTTGTTATCCAAACCGAATATCTCTAATGAGTAGATCGAAACGTATGTTTCAGAAGGTCGTTGGCTGAGGAATGAGTTTGTCAAGTTTGTTGCTATTTTTATGAAATTCTCAATTCGTGGAAATGGAATCATCGAAACAATCAAGATATTAATTGAGCGACAATAAATGAATAATTATTTGTTTATTATTTTTTTTTTTTTATATCTTGCTTCGATATTGGAATCATTGATTGATGATTGCAAATTATTTTTTAATTTTTTACTTTTTTCCTCCCAAATAATTACTTCGTATTATACGTAGAAAAAAAAACAAAACAAAGAGGAGAATAAAATATATCGATCAAAATTACAATATTCTATTTACTTCAAATAATGAAAATCTAATTAAACAATTCAAGTTTCAAAATATTTTCCTATACGTTAGAGGAGAATAAAAGAACAAAAACTAAATTTTGCGAATAAAATAAAATTTTTACAAATTTTTACACATTATTATTTTTTTATAATTCTAAAGGAAACAATAATATAAAAATATTAATGAACAACAAATTTTTTTTATATTATAAAAAAAGAGAAGAAAAGATAAATTTAGAATAAAAAATAAATTTTTAGTAAAAATATTAATTATTGATTAATAATTAATATTTTTATTAAATAAAAATATTTAAAATATTTGAAAATCACAAAAGAAAAAGTATCAAAATGAAAAATAATTTTCATTTCATATACATTGATACAATAAAATTGATATCCTGATAGAATCTTCTTTGATTTGTTGTTATTATTCATGGTTTTTTATCCTAAAATGATAATTTTTTTTCGTAATAATCCGACAATATCCGATATTTAATCCAAATTAAGATTAAACGTCAGAAAACGTCTCGATCATCATTATCAATAAACAAGTGAATGAAAACTGTGGCTATTTTACTCGGATTTACTAGCCAAGAATTAAATGTTATATAATCAGGATGGCGTTTTCGATGACTGCTTTATGAGACATGTGCACAATGTTGTTGTCGTGTTATTAAAATTAATTCAAACATTAAATCACAGAGTTATTATGATTTTTGTGATACGAAATATATAAAAATAAAGAAAATTTATAAAATATGATTGAATTGGTGTTATTAACATTTTTTTTCATAAATATTTCCATTCATAAAAATGTTTTCATCAAATTATCTTATTATTGTGGAAAATATCTTTTAAATCAAAAATCTAACTTCATAGAGATAAAATAATTTATCCATATGATCCATTATTTAATTTTCTAACTTTATAAATTATTTTGTTATTAATAATTCAAATTAATAGTTAAATCATATATACAGAATTCTTGTCAAAATTATTAAAAATATTTAAAATTATTAAAAAATAATACAAAATGTCAAAATCTTTGTTCATACCAAAAATATACATAAAACTTTAATTTATATAGAATATTTAGATATCTAATTAATTTAAATTCTAACAAATTTAAAATCTGTATATATAACATAATAAAATATAGAAACGTATATTTATTTTCTCACCGAATTTCAAACAAACTTGTTTAAAACAAAGCATAAGCCAAATAAAATCAACTATCAACAATGATCAAAAACAAATTGAAAAATTTATAAATTCACAATAAATTTCATTGATCAAATTTTCAATATAAATACATATTTTATATAGTTTCTATCTTTTAACAAAAATCTCAGAAAAACGTTCATTTACACCACTTTCTTAAACTTTCAATCAATCAAAAACAAAATTCCTCCAATATATTAAAACACATATTAAATCAAACTCACACGAATTCAAATGAAATTAATTTACCGATATAATCGACCAATCACTTTTCTCCTTTCGTAAGAAAAAAAAGGAAGATCTTTTTAATATATTCGAACGAAAGTAATAAAAAGAAAAAATGAGGCGTACAGTAGAAGTCTGTGTCGGGCATAAAGCGAAACTAAAGCGTGTAAATCGCGAATCGACAAGGCACAGCCTGTAATTTTCCTTAAGTTCGCATATCGTGCACACGCGCGCGCGTGTTATGTTGGCACGCGATCGGTGGATTCGCGCCAAATATTCGATCGCCGTCTTAATATTTCCGCCATCGATGCGCCATAGTAATTGTCAATTGCTATCGTCCGATTTTGTCATTTTCACGAAAATTTAATCATTGAAAAAGTATGAAAAAAAAAAGAGAAAAAGAGAAAGAAAAAAATCGATATATCGCAATGTAGAGATGTAGGATAAATCGAGATGAAAGAATCGTTTCCGTTAAAATGGCCGCAGTCC